AATCACCAGTAAAAATGCACATATCTTCTGACATGAAGAACTGAGAGGACACAAGATCACTTCTGTTGCCCAAGATATATAACCTCAGTCTACATTCTACAAAATCACTGCTAGTATACTTCAAAAGTGTCAAGGTCATGAAAGACCAACCTGAGAAACTATTTCAGGTTGGAGGAGCCTAAGGAGGAGTAAATGCAATGTGAAGTGAAAACCTGAACCAAAAGAAGAATGTAAGTGGGAAAGGAAAACTGCCGAAATTTGAATATACAGATTAGTTAATATTATTATATCAGGGTTCACTTCCTGGTTTGGGTTATTATAAACTGTACTACAGTTAGGTTTTTAAAGAAAAATTTTTTAAAGATTTTATTTATTTATTTGAGACAGAGAAAGAGAGAGAAAGCACAAGCAGGCAGGACGGTTAGAGGGAGAGGGAGAAGCAGACTCCCCACTGAGCAGGGAGGCCGATGAGGGTGCTCGATCCCAGGACCCTGAGATCATGAGCTGAGCTGAAGGTAGATGGTTAACCGACTGAGCCACCCAGGCGCCCCAAGAAATTTTTTTTTTAAACATTTTATTTTATTTATTTGGACCACATGGGGGGGAGGGTCAGAGGGCGAAACAGACTCCCTGCCGAGCAGGGAGCCCGATACGGGACTTGATCCAGAGACTCCAGGATCATGACCTGAGCCGAAGGCAGTCGCTTAACCAACTGAGCCACCCAGGAGCCCAAGAAATTTCTTTTTACTTATTTATTTATTTATTTGACAGAGAGACACAGTGAGAGAGGGAACACAAGCAGGGGGAGAGGGAGAAGCAGGCTTCCCGCGGAGCAGGGAGCCCGACATGGGTCTCAATCCCAGGACCCTGGGCTCATGACCCAAGCCAAAGGCAGACGCTTAATGACTGAGCCACCCACGCGCCCCAAGAAATTTCTTTAATACAATGCTCATTGATGCTTGATGACTGGCTTAAGTGAAGACTTTGATTTCAGTACAAGTCACTTTATCAACAATCGCATCCTTAAAATCTAAAATCAGTTACTGAGATTCACTTAAGGAGCTCAGGGGCAGTATTAAAGGGCCCAGGTTCTCACAGGCCCTTATCCATCTCTGCACATTGGCTGGCACTGTTACACAGCAGCCTCCCGTCTGCCAGAGCACAGACCACAACACAACATCTGCCACCGGGAGTTCAGTCCCAACAAGTCAGGATGCTCTTTCCAAGAGCAGAGTTCATAGAGTCGAACACAGTGGCTTCTTCTTTACTGCTTCCCTGTTGTTTTGTAACTTTTAAGATTTATTTGAGAGAGTGCATGCGTGCATGAGCAGGGGGAGGGGCAGAGGGAGAGGGAGAGAATCTCAAGCAGACTCCCTGCAGGGCACGGATCCCAGACGTGGGGCTCAGTATCACGACCCTGAGATCATGACCTGAGGTGAAACCAAGAGTCAAATGCTTAACCAACTGAGCCAACCCAGGAGTCCCTACTGCTTACCTCTTTTAACTGAAAAATAGCTATTATCTACCCAAGTATCTACAATGGTTACATTTACAGCATTATGCTTTTGGCCAAACAGAAGAAAAGTGTGCAATGTTCCTTTCTCCTTTGAAGAAAGACATGATTTGGCCACTGAACTTCATTTGAATCTTTGGTACCTTCTTCCACATTAGACTAAAACCCAGCTGATATTCATGACCGGGCTGTTTTTTAGTCAGCTCGCCAAACACTTAAGAAGGCTTTCTGGCACACTGTTGACTGCTGAATGCATGAGAACAGTGGACAGGACCCTGTAGTGGTTACAGAGCAGCTGGGACAGCACAAGAGGGAGGGGGGATGGGGTCTGTATTAATCATGATCTTTCAGTGCCCTTGTCTTTCAATGCCCCATAATCTTTTTCAAGCACTAAATTTAAGTCCCAGGCATTGGTTGATAAAGCAGTAGGCTCATCAGCTTGGATTATGCTGGTTACATCCAAGTCCACATCTGGTATCTCAATCATTTTGGAGCAACCATTAACTGCAGCTTTCAATTCATACAGACATTTTTAAATATCTTGGTGGAACTCAAGCGCTTGAAGAGATGGGTCAGACTTCCTGCACACGGTCTACAACCAGGTAAGGAAAGATGCATCGGTTTATGATAGGGCTTTACCTGGTACACTGGCATCACAGGAGCATTAGAGGAAGCTGGGTATATGGGAACTCTTAATTTTTTCTTGGCAACTTTTCTATAATTTTAAATTTATTTCAAAATAAAAAAAACAAAAGCCCTGTGCTATTGGGTTTTCATACATATGAACTGGACCAATAATAGCTTCCATTTTCTTTGAATAAATTGGGCTTCATTTGACTTAATAAGAAAGGATCAAATTTTGGTTTAACTGTATACTTGAGAACATATACTTATTTTTCCTAGTAAAAATGTAGCCCGAGGAAAGAAAATAGATACTAATGATTTGCTATGGTTTTTAAAGACTTCTGTTCCCCAGTACGAGAGAAAGTTACAGGGGAAAACTGAACCAATGCTAGGGACAATCCTTCCCTGGAAGGCACCCTGAGATTCAAACTTGTCCTAGTTCTGGTGGTTGTGATTTAGAAAACAGGGCTCAACTTCCTTTTAAGAGATTTTTTTTTTTCCTTAGCATCAGGACTCCATGAGCTAACAGGGCTTAGAGTTCTCTATCTGGTTTTGGCATATTTATAGCAGAAGATTTGGCCATGAATGTGTTGAGTGTGGAAGAGTAGGCGGCTGAAGCTGCATTTATAAAGCATTTGTAACTGTTGTTCTTAGCCACTTAGAGACAGCAATGTGTTTGATTTTGGCTTCTCTCTTTTGCAGGCTTAGAATATTCCTTCAAAATCAATATTCTTCTGGTTCTGTTTTGAAAACAATAGCAAATAGACCATCGAATTCAAAATTACACAATGGACTTGAATATACATTTCTCCAGAGAGATACACAGATGGCCAACAGCACATCAATATCATTAGTCATTAAGAAAATGCAAATCAAAACCACAATCAGATACCATTCATACCCACTAGGATGGCTATAATAATCTTTTTAAAAAAAGGAAAGTACACGTTGGCAAGATGTGGAGAAACAGGAACATTCCCAATAAGAATATCAAATGGTGCAGCCACTACAGAAAACAGTTTGGTGGTTCCTCAAAAAGTTAAACAGGATTACCATCCGATCCAGCAATTCCACTCCTAGCTATGTACCCAAAAGAACTGAAAACAGGATCTTTAAAACAAAAACAAAAAAACTCTTTCTCCCTCTCTCAAAATAAATAAAGTCTTTTTTTTTTTTTTAAAGATTTTATTTATTTATTCATGAGAGACAGAGGAGGAGAGAGAGAGAGGGAGAGACAGAGAGAGAGAAGCAGACTCCCAAGGAGCAGGGAGCCCGATGTGGGACTCGATCCCAGGACCCTGGGATCATGACCTGAGCCAAAGGCAGACGCTTAACCATCTGAGCCACCCAGGCGCCCTCAAAATAAATAAAGTCTTAAAAAAATTTAAAAAAACCTGAAAACAGGGACTCAAACGATGTTTTAAGCTAATATTCACAGAAGCATTATTCACATTAGCCCAAAGTGGGAACAACCCAAGTGTCCATCACAGATGAATGGATAAACAAATGTGATATATACTCCCAGTGGAATAGTATTCAGCCATAAAAAGAAATGAAGTTCTGATACAGGCTACAGCATGGGTGACTCTTGGAAACATTATACTAAGGGAAATAAGCCAGACACAAAAGGACGAGAATGACATGATTCCACTTAAATGAAATATCTACAATAGGCCTATTTGTAGAGACAAAGTAGGTTAGAGGTTACCTGGGGTTCGGGTGAGGGAGAAAGGGGGAGTTATTATTTAACGGGTACAGATTTTTTCTTTGAGGTGATGAGAAAGTTCTGGAAATAGATAATGATAATCGTGTACAACATTGTGAATGTACTTAATGCCACTAAATTACCATTTTAAAATGGTAAACTTTATGTGTATTTTGCCACAATAAAAAAAGAGTTAAGGAAACAAAAATACTGATATGGATTGGTTTTTCAAAATTGAGGATCCCTTAGGCAAAGGATGTTATGTGTAAACATGCCTAAATTCGTAACAGCTTTGGGAAATTAAAAAGCAGAACACCCCCCACCCAAATTTAACTTACACATGGTGGGCAATCATGAAAATGTATAAACACAGTGACAAAAATCAGAGTTTAAAATAAAGTGACTTAGGGCACCTGGGTGGCTCAGCTGGTTAAGCGTCTGACTCTTGGTTTGGGCTCAGGTCATGATCTCAAGGTCCTGAGATTGAGCCCCATGTGGGGCTCCAGGCTCAGCATGGAGTCTGCTTCTCCCTCTTCCTCTGCTCCTCCCCTGCCCCTGCACTCTCTCTCTCATAAATAAAAATCGTTAAAAAAAAAATTAAAAAGTAAAGTGACTTATTTCTGATATATATTCATGGGCTTCTATTCTATAAAGTCAATTTACATTTTCAAACATTATTTTTCCTTTAAAAGTTAGGACTTCCACGCATCCCCAGTCGCTGTGCAAATTCCTTACCATCAATTCAATCCCCCAGCACATACAGACACAGGCTCCACACAGCCTCCTTGCCAGTTGTCTCATCGCCTCAGCCTGGAAAGCATCCAATTCTTCCTCCTCTGGGATCAGAGAAGTACTTCCCCTCTCCTAGACCATCCCAGCAAACAGGGCAAACCACCTTGCTAACAGAATGCTTTTCACAAACAGGACTTAATGCTGTGAATTCTTCTCAGGTTTACCTATCAGTGAATTCAGATTTTTAAGATCTAAAGACCTCGCTGGTACTTTCGGCCTCAAATTTTGCTTAACAAAGTGACTTCGCTACTTTGAGACAACAGAGACCCACGATCACATCACATGGCCAACAGAACAAGGAAAACTGAGCTGAGGGTCTGCAAAAGCCCAAGGCTGCTGCTCTCTCGGAACCAGCCACTGACTGACCTTTGTACTCCGGGGTGAACTCCTTCATTTCGGGAGGAAGGGATTCGTAGAAGCGCTGCTCCCGGGAGATGAGAGGCTTGCATACAGTGTGGTCGTCGTAACGCATCATGCTGCTGTGTCCGCCCACCTGGTGGATGAAGGGCTCCAGGAGGACTCCCCGGTCTCCGGCCCGACTTGCGTTCTTGCCATACTGCCCCACTTCCATGGTTTGACAAACACACATTGCGTTGGGGGCCAGTTGCACTCTGAGGGCAGAGGATGCAGCACATGGGCCACGAAAGAACAGCTAGGCAGAAGGTCCTGGGGAGCTGAGCAATGGTCAGAGCCTGTTCAGCTTATTCTTCTTTCCTAAAAGAAAGGAGAGGAAAAGAGGGAATCAAAACACCTGGCAAGCTGCAACTTCCCTGGTGTTCATAGAACATCTGCTCTATGAGTAAGAATGGGATTCTGAGGGCGTCTGGCTGGCTCCGTTGTTTGAAAATGCAACTCCTGATCTCAGGGTCATCAGTTTAAGCCCCACACTGGGTGTAGAAATTACTTTAAAAAAATAAAAAATTAAAATATTAAAAAAAAAAGAATGGGATTTTGTTCTGTTCCCTGCTATGTGTTCCCCCAGTAAGTACAATGCTGCCTGCTGCATGAGAGGCAGGTGGCAAGTTTTTCTGAATGATAGAACTTTGGTCTCCTCCATCCATTTTTTTTTTATGCACAGAAGCCCATATTTTCTTCCTTTCCTAGCTATCATATAACCTTCCACATTCCCTAAAGGATTTGATTTTAGAGCTACAATATGTTAACAGTCATCAGAAAGGCAACTATCCCTGTTTACTTCATATTCGAAGATAAGCATTCAGGGAAAAAAACACAAGGCAACATGACTTCTCACTATATCCAGTAATGGTAAGGGTCTCTCGCTGACTCAAGGAAGGGTTTTTGAGAAATCTGGTCACACTAGATTTTCAACTTTTCTGCTGAAGGCCAAGGCGCAGGCAGGGAAAGCCATTCCTTGCTGAGTTGTAGCATCATAAAAAGGGTTTGCTCTTCCCAAGGAAATTCAGGCTTCCGATTTCTTCTACTTTAAATCTATGGCCATCAGTCCAGTGCCACAGAGCTTCCCTTTCTGTATAACCCTACACCAACCAGTAGGATAAGGAAATGCCTTTGTACTTAAATACCTACCTTGTAGTGTCAATTTTCTCTCAAGAAAGTTAAAGTAATGGGCAACTTCCCTAATACTGAATATAGTTTGAAATTAGGAATGTAGCAGGCAAGACTACATCTGAAAGATCAAGACTAAAAAAGAAAAATATTTTTAAGAGCAGGAATATGGCTTTACCTGCAAGAGATAAAACATTATTTTTCAGGTGCTTGGGTGGCTCAGTTGGTTAAGCGACTGCCTTCGGCTCAGGTCATGATCCTGGAGTCCCAGGATCGAGTCCCGCATCGGGCTCCCTGCTCAGCAGGGAGTCTGCTTCTCCCTCTGACCCCCCCTCCTCTCATGTGCTCTCTCTCTCTCTCATTCTCTCTCTCAAATAAATAAAATCTTCAAAAAAAAAAAACATTATTTTTCTTCCAAACCTCATAATTTATGGGCAAAATAGGCTACTGAAGAACTCTGCTGCAAAACTGCAAAATTTTCTTACTGCAAAGCCTCCCAGGAAGCTCTGTTCTATTTCACGGCTATCAACTAAAATAAATGATTTCCCATTCCCCTAACCAATCAGCACCACTTCAATGCACACAATACACATTTTTGCTTACCTATCCACTTTCTAGTCCTCCTTCAGGAGAAGGCAACTCCCTTCCCCATGGAGTTTTCCCACACTCCACTCTCCCAAACATGAGTTGGGTGAGCACACCTCTATGGCTCCCAAGGTACCTTGTGTCAACTATCTCAGCAATATATCACTGTACTGTCCCCTATTTACTTGTCGTCACCACCACCAAACCATTCCCTTGTATTTCCATCTAGGGTCCAAGGCAGTTCCTGCCACACAGGAACTGCTCAAAAATAGGTTTGTTAGGTGGCGCCTGGGTGGCTCAGTTGGTTAAGCAGCTGCCTTCAGCTCAGGTCATGATCCCAGAGTCCTGGGATGGAGTCCCATGTCGGCTGCCTTCAGCTCAGGTCGTGATCCGAGGGACCTGGGATCAAGTCCCATGTCGGGCTCCCTGCTCAGCGAGGAGCCTGCTTCTCCCTCTCCCTCTGTCTCCCGGCTTGTGCTCTCACTGTCAAATAAATAAAATTTAAAAAAAATAAATAAGCAGGGGCGCCTGGGTGGCTCAGGCGTTAAGCGTCTGCCTTCGGCTCAGGACATGATCCCAGGGTCCTGGGATTGAGCCCCGCATCGGGCTCCCCGCTCAGCGGGAAGCCTGCTTCTCCCTCTCCCGCTCCCCCTGCTTGTGTTCCCTCTCTCGCTGTGTCTCTCTCTGTCAAATATATAAATAAATAAAATCTTTAAAAATAAATAAATAAGCAAACAAAATCTTAAAAAAAAAAAAAGTTTGTTGGAATGAATGAAATAATTCCAGGAAGAGGGCTGCAGGGAGTAAAAGCACAATCTGAAAACAGAAGGAGTTACATAGTGGCAGTGTTAAGTGGGGAAGTAGCTATGCCTCTTCTCAGGTCTCCTGGCGGTGCCCACCATGACAGTGGACTCTACCTCACACCGCCAATCAGCTTTTGCTCTGGCCCTGTTGCACACCGGGATTGCCTCTGATTGGAGATGGGGTTCCCAGAACGGTGCTAAACTTTCTAGCCTGGGTCAGTGGGTGTCTGGGAAAGGAGAGGGATCCATAGTGCCAAGAGCCCCAGAAGAGCTGGACTCTGAGGTGTGTGGCAACCTCGGCAGCCTCCAAAGGACCAAAACGCTCAAGTCCAATCTCCAGTCGGATCTAGACTTTTGATATTTTGTTCCTACGTGATAAATACATAAAGTCATGGGACTGTTTGTTTGAAATATTTTCTTAGAAGTAAACATGTAAGGGGCGCCTGGGTGGTGCAGTCAGTTGAGCCCCCAACTCTTGGTTTCGGCTCAGGTTATGATCTCAGGGTCATTAGATCGAGCCCTGCTACAGGCTCCACGCTCAGTGCAGAGTCTGCCTGAGATTCTCTCTCCCGCTCCCTCTGCCCCTCCTGCTCGTGCTCTCTCTCATTCTCTCTAAAGTGAATAAATCTTTATTTTTTTAAGATTTTATTTATTTATTTGATAGAGACAGAGATAGCCAGAGCAGGAACACAAGCAGGGGGAGTGGGAGAGGGAGGAGCAGGCTTCCTGCCGAGCAGGGAGCCCAATGCGCGGGGCTCGATCTTAGGACCCTGGGTCAGCCCAAGGCAGATGTTTAATGACTGAGCCACCCAGGCACCCAGTGAATCAATTTAAAAAAAAAAAAAAGTTAACATGTAAAATATACCATATTTCTATAAGCTTTGTTTTGGCGTTTCTTTTTAAATAAATCTGGAACCTAAAAAAGTACAAGTGCCCAGAAGTCTGTCAATTTCTGTGAAGCCGTGACTCACAGAGTGTGGAGCTGTGGGTAAGTCACTTAACTCAAATTTCCTCACCTACGGGGCGCCTGGGTGGCTCAGTCAGTTGAGCGTCTGACTCTTGATTTTGGCTCAGGTCATGATCTCAGGGTCGTGAGTTCAAGCCCGCGTGGAGCTCTGCGCTCAGCATGGAGTCTGCTTGTCTCTCTCCCTCCCTCTCTGCCCCCACACTGCACACATGTGTGTACACATGCTCTCTCTCTCTCTCAAATAATAAAATCTCAAATTTCCACACCTACAATTTGAAGCCAAGACCACCACTAACCCTGCGGGATATGCTGATACAGGCAAAGGGTTTGGGCTTGCCCTGCCTACTGCCCAGCCTTTAAGTCCTAGAAACATCGATAGTTCTGACTCTTCTATAAACAACCAGAGGTTGCTCCTGAAGTCAGGTGTCCACCAAGGCCCACTCTGAAAACCATGGACTGAGAAGGCTGTAGATGATGATGTCTTTCTCCACTATTTCCTTGCTAAGAGTCCCAATCAGGTAGTCCAACCTCAAAGGGAATGTGAAACTTCATTCTAGCTCAGGGAGAATCTCCAACAGTACTTCCATCCCTATGAGAGGGCTGATTTAGGAAAGGGCATGTGACCATCTTCTAAGCATGAGACAAGAGGGGAAGTTGGCCAGGGGTCCCCTGGGAAATTGCTCTGAAAGAACACAAGAGAGGCGTCCCTTCTCTTCCTCAGGATAGTATTCTGTCTGGATGTGTATCTAAGACTACTGCATCCACCTGGAGACCCTAAAAGATACTAGCCTAAAGACCAGGCCAACATGCTGAGCATGCAGAACAGAAGGATAGAAATCAGGGTCCCTGATGTTGTCACTAAAATACTGGATATTTTGTTATGTAACAAAAATAAATTTCCCTTGGGGCGCCTGGGTGGCTCAGATGGTTAAGCATCTGCCTTCGGCTCAGGTCATGATCCCGGATCCTGGGGTCCTGGGATCGAGTCCCGCATCGGGCTCCCTGCTCCTTGGGAGGCTGCTTCTCCCTCTGCTTCTCTCTCTCTCTCTCCCCCTCTGTCTCTCATGAATAAATAAAATCTTAAAATATATATATATAAAAAAATAAAATAAATTTCCCTTTATGCTTTCAGCCAGTCTCATTAGGGTTTTCTATCATCTGTAGTCAAAACCGTCTAGATAAGGGACAGAAAAGCATCAAAATCCCCAGATCTCCAGTTAATACACTTTGCACATAAAGAGATAAGTGTTTTCTGATGATAACAAGGAAGACTTCCAATAACTGAAGAATAAGCCCTTCACTGATGATAAAGGACCCAAGCCCCAAAAGGAAAAATGTAGCTTTATAATCTCCAAAGTGTCCCCAAAGGCAGACAATCTGAATTATACCTGGTCCATTAGGGCTGGTACCAAAATACTAAAAAACAATCTGACAAACAGAAAATTCATTCTCTCATAAGTCATAATGAACCTGCCCAAATATCCAAATAATTAGCTTAGAACTGATTCTACTGTGAATCAACGACAGGCAGACCATAAATGAAATTTATACTCTTGCCACTTCAGGACCTCACTGATCATTATTTTTCACAAACGCATCTAAATACAATGGAGTCAATAAATCCTATTTTCCAGAGTGTAACTAATTCTCAAAGACTTTCCCAACTGTCCTCTGCAAATACACTGACCTGATTTCAAGTAGTTTATGCCATTCAAAACGTCAACAGCCCTAATCTTTTCCAGACTTAAATTAAGGAACTACTAGCATGAAGAAAAACTTGCAAATTCTTTAAAAGCTACAAAGTATCCAAAAAAGTCAGATAATTAAAATCATGA